TTTTCATACATAAATGGTATAAATGAACCTTCAAAATAAAGTACCCAACTTGATTTGAATATCAATCTTTCTTGTTTTAATATGCGTTTACTTTCCTGCGTCCGTTTTGGACAACCCCATATTAACAATGAATATTGTGGTAATATATAGTAGAAAACACCAACTTTATCACTTCCTAATTAAATTTGCAGCATAAAAATAACACATGTTGCAATTACAGCATATCAAACTATTTTCATTTCAATGCAAAATAAGTCTATAACGCATAGGTGGCTGTGAAAAATAAAAGCCATGACAATTGTTTTTATTAATCACAGCTGTCAGAATACGTTTAAAACAGTTTTGGGTAGTTAAGGTTTTCAAAATGGGTAGAGGAAAGGTTATTAGTGAGAAAATTCGGTTAATGATAATTAAATTTTTTAATTCTGGGAAATCAAACTCAGAAATTGCAACTTTGTTAGACCTATCGCGGTACAGTGTGAGAAATATTGTTAGAAGATGTAACGTAACTGGTTCAGATAATATTAAGCCACGATATGTGAAACAAAGTAATATCACAAATGCCGACCGAAGAGCATTAAGAAAAATAATCGTGAAAAACAGGCGTGCCAATTATTTACAATTAAGTGCTCTGTGGAGTGACGCTGTTGGAAGGAGAATTTCGAGGTCCACAACTCATAGAGAGGCTCACAAACTGGGATTTAGCACTTGCAAGGTAAGTTTTCTTATAAAAAAAGTGAAATAAAAACCCTAAAGTTGCACAACTTGTTTATAGGCCAAAGAAAAGCCACTAATAACTCCACTGCAAAAGGACAATCGGCTTAGATGGGCTAAAAAACATAGACAATGGACACCTCAACAATGGTGTGCAATACAATGGAGTGATGAGGCCCGATTCGAAATTTGTGGTGGTGACAGTCGCAGTAGAGTTATTCGCAAAACAATGAAGCATTCCATGTTGAATGTCTGAAGAGAAAAGTGAAATTTCCAGCATCCATTATGGTCTGGGGCAGTATGTCATCAAAAGGAGTAGGAAAAGTTCATTTTATTGATGAAAATGTGGATACAAACAAATATTTGGCAATTTTAGAAGAATCGCTTTTACCAGTGATGGAAGAATGTTTGACATCCGGTTAAGATTTTGTGTTTCAGCAAGATGATGCAGCGTGCCATACCTCAAAAAGGCTATAAAATGGATGGAAGGAAATAATGTACCACTTTTGAAATGGGTCTCTAGCAGTCCAGGTCTGTCACCTATTGAAACTTTGTGGCACGAGATGAAAAAAACTTGGTTAACAATATGCCCCAAATAATTTCAGCCATAATAAAAAATAAAGGTGATGTTACCCAATAGTAATCTTTCAATTGTTGCTTTGTTAACTTCGCGCATTTATTCGCACATTGTTTATTTGTTCAGATGTTCTATTAGTTATAGGTCTAAGTGATTTCAAATATGTATTTTTTACGTGTATCTAAAATGTTTTTGAGAAAATATATTGTTTTAGAAGTAAATAATTTCGTCATGTTTAGTTGAAGTATGCCAACTGAAGTGGGAAGGGGCTCGTACATTACAGCAACTTTTCACTTTTATCACATACACAATTATTTTTTATTATGTTACCCGTTTATCAAAAATTCGCATTTCCTCAATAAAATATGATTGTAGAAAAAATGAAGAAATGGTAACATTCCTAATAAGGTCATACGCTTGTCCCAGAGCGTTACAATTCTGTCCCTACGATGGTCTTTTTAATTACTAGCAAATAATTTCTTGGCTTCTCTCTTGTTGAGGCACAGCCCTATCTTTGGACAATATTATTTCAGTTATTCAAAGTTTGCAATCATCCTTCCAATAAACCACAACAAGCGCAAAGGTGAAGATCTAGATACCGCAACTACTACAAACAAAACAAATCAGTAAACCTTCCTCTTGGCAAGCCCCGCAGCGCTCGCTGTATTCTAGAAACTCATGGGTTTTACCGATAAGATTTAATTAAACTGATTAACATTTTAATTGTGCCAATTTTTTTTTAATCTCCAACTACCACGAAGGCCTAAGGCCTAAACACCCATTGGGTACCGTGGGGCTATAGGGGGATACAGGGGAAACGGGAACGCCACACGGACTCTGGCGAGGGAACACGTGTGCATGTAACATGCACACATCCTGGCTCCGCCGAGATCCGCCGGGTGGTACCTCCACGTTCGACCGTCTACCCCCTACGGACAATCACAACATCCATAGCCAAGAGAAAAATTTCTCCTGGGACGGGACTCGAACCCGCACAGCGCACGGCGACTGAGGAGACCGAAGAGTCTACTACTGCGGCCACCGCTGCTGCCTAAATAAAAAAGTTAATCAACTATGTGGCAGATAACATGATCAGTTAATTCAATTGAACTCCGATTTCTAAAAAGGTTCACTTGAATCTATGAAACGAATTAATTAAATCAAAATGCATTCGTTGAATCAAATTTATTGAACCGTTCAGTTAGATTAGGTACACCAATTTATTTAAAATTGGTGAACTGTCAAAATCAGTTTACCTGCTCTAAAATAAAACACTAATTTTTATAATCTAATCTAAAACGTTTTTAAATTGGGTAATTAACAAATAAATGGCATTAAGTTTTTCTAACTTAAGCCAAAATTTTGTAGTCAGTAAGTTTCATTGAATTAAATATTTAAAACACACATGACAACAGCGCGTCGGTCTTTCATCACTATTATCGAACCGGAAATCGATCGCAAACGGTAACAGTGGTTAGTTATCGTTTGGCATAGATAAATTACTTTATCGTTTTGTCGAGCAGAGCGTCGGGCGTGTTGTTTTGTTTTTGTTCGCGTACGTCGTCGTGTTTATTTACAATTTTCTCGAATCAATCTCTTATTCTTGAGAAAATTAATTTCTCTTATTTGTAGTTTGTGCGATTAAGTCTTACCAAGTTGGTAATACCAACTATTTGTCTGATTGTCCAAAAACAGGTTATGATATTATTATCATTCACTAAAAGTAAGTCTTATATAGGAAAGGACAGAAAGGGATGCCTAAAACCCACTGCTTACTAAAAATGTACTTCTACGAGGTCTGTAAGTTAGGAGATGAGACTGACTTTTCTCTAGTTCTTTAAATTAAAAATTTGGTTGCAATTTTATATCGTCACTCTCAAAACAATTTCCTTCTGAAGCCACACAGCGCTGGAGACGGTTCTGCAACTGCTCATAGCAGTGCTGGAACTCCGATACTGGAGTAGCCTTCAGCTGGTCGATTACAGCTGTTTGATATTTTCGACTATCCCAAAATGGATGCCCTTGAGGTGATTTTTCAACTTCGGGAAGAGAAAAAAGTCACAAGGGCTCAAGTCAGTCGAATAAGAGACTTAGGTACCACAGGAATTGTATTTTGTACTTTAAGATTCGATAGAACCTTTAAAATTAATGCATAAAGTCTATATAAACATGGGTCGAAAAATGCGGGGCTTCCGAAATACAGGGTGTTTAAATTTACTTTCTAAAATAGTTTTTTTTAATATTTCGAACAATATTTGATGTATAACAGTGAAAATTGGTATACAAGGGTTTTTTGGTACGACAAAACGAACCATGGGCATAGTTTTACTGTAGCCGCTAGAGGGCGCTCTCTACTGTACCTGTTGTGTATTAAAATGACCGAAAAACTGATTCTTCGCACTTTTCAACATAAAAAAGCTCTCCTATGAGTTTTCGTTATAGTTAGCCGTTTTTAAGATATTTCGATTTTAATTATTTTTAATTATTTATGGGAAAATATTTTTTTTACATTTTCGATTTGGGCATTACAAGTAATTAAGATAATCGTTTAGATTGTGTTTTTAAACACAGCAATAATTCCTAACTCCAAATAAACACAAAAAACAGAATATTAATTTGTTTAATTTTCCAATATTATTTTTAACAAATTAAATTAATTATTTACAACTAAAATGCTATTGGCTAGTTAGGACAAACATACAAAATCTAAAGTAGTTGCTCGAAATGTAAACCCAATTGTTCAATACACAATTCACATCTACGAATGGTCGAACGTGGTATAGCATTATTCAAATAAGGCCTTATTTCATCACATGCATTCCTGATTCTGTCTATTAGCATACCTCTTGAGGTTACGGGAGTCTGGTACACTTTTTCTTTTAGAAATCCCCACACAAAGAAATCTAATGGATTTAGGTCAGGGGATCGTGAGGCCAGGCGACTGGTCCTCCACGGCCGATCCATCTTTCTGGATAATTTTCGTCCAGCCAGTTTCTAACTATTCTCGAATAATGAGCTGGACAACCATCAAGCTGGAACCAGGCCAATGTCCTTAAATCTAACATAACATCATCCCACATATTTGCATGTTCAGCCTTTAAAAATTCCAAGAAGGTCGCAGCATTTAACCTTGCAGGCAAAAGGTAGGGTCCAGTTCTTTAAATTAAAAATTTGGTTGCAATTTTATATTGTCACTCTCAAAATAATTTCCTTCTGAAGCCACACAGCGCTGGAGACGGTTCTGCAACTGTTCATAGCAGTGCTGGAACTCAGATACGGGAATAGCCTTCAGCTGGTCGGTTACAGCTGTTTGATATTTTCGACTATCCCAAAATGGATGCCCTTGAGGTGATTTTTCAACTTCGGGAAAAGAAAAAAGTCACAAGGGCTCAAGTCAGTCGAATAAGAGACTTAGGCTCCAAAGAATAAATACAGATGATTTAAAGTAGCCCCGACGACCGTCTATGCCCAACCCACCCTCGTTTCCTTTACACCCCCCCGTTACCACAGCAGATGGTGCTCGTGATTGTAGGAGCCCCGTTAAGGAAAGGTGGTCATCTGATAGAATGGATCCATAATTATGGCCAAGCTGGGGGCGGCTTTTTAAGCTTCAGTGAAGCAAGACGATGCAAAGTTGCAAAATACCGATGGCAGACCTGTGTTCGTACGCCATTGGGATAAATTGCATCGCACCCTCATAAGTCTTGAAATTTCACGTGCGTACCATAGTAGCATCACCGCTAGTACCTTCCAGTGTCAATAATTGCCTGAGAAAACTGCGGAAGCGTTAAGATCCGACCGCATACCTTTGGAGCGTGCATTGCGGAACCATGCTCCAAACGAGGATCTTCGTTGTTTCTGCTTTGGCGGTACTTGCTGCGGTGATACAGTGCGACGTGTTCGATAAGTACTGCGGGCTGGGGTGCAACGATGAGGTGCATACTGTTTGCTTGAGGAGGAATCAGGTAATTACAACTCTACGGTAAGAAACACATTGCGGAACCGCCTGAAATAATTTTGACATACCTGTAGTGTATCCAAATTATCGCACAGAAATCTTATGAGAAACATCTTTCGGCTATTTTTTTAAAAGTTCAGCATACAGGGTAGGATGCTGTGTACTTAAATGGAAATAGAGAAATGCGAGACTTTTTCATATGTTTAAATTGGTCAGTTCTAAATTCAGTTATTGCGGATATACAGGGAGTTTCAGTTTATTGTTGCATAACTTTAAGATGCGATAGAACTTTTAAAATTAATGCATAAAGTCTATATAAACATGGGTCGAAAAATGCGTGGCTTCCGCAATACATGGTGTTTAAATTTACTTTCTAAAATAGTTTCTTTTAAATATTTAGAACAATATTTGATGTATAGTATAATAGTGAAAATTGGTATACAAGGGTTTTTTGGTACGACAAAACGAACCATGGGCATAGTTTTACTGTAGCCGCTAGAGGGCGCTCTCTACTGTAGCTGTTGTGTATTAAAATGACCGAAAAACTGATTCTTCGCACTTTTCAACATCAAAAAGCTCTCCTGTGAGTTTTCGTTATAGTTAGCCGTTTTTAAGATATTTCGATTTTTAAGGTTCGATGCATTTTTTATTATTTATGGGAAAATATTTTTTTTTACATTTTCGATTTGGGCATTACAAGTAATTAAGATAATCGTTTAGATTGTGTTTTTAAACGCAGCAATAATTCCTAACTCCAAATAAACACAAAAAACAGAATATTAATTTGTTTAATTTTCCAATATCATTTTTAACAAATTAAATTAATTATTTACAACTAAAATGCTATTGGCTAGTTAGGACAAACATACAAAATCTAAAGTAGTTGCTCGAAATGTAAACCCAATTGTTCAATACACAATTCACATCTACGAATGATCGAACGTGGTATAGCATTATTCAAATAAGGCCGTATTTCATCACATGCATTCCTGATTCTGTCTATTAGCATATCTCTTGTGGTTACGGGAGTCTGGTACACTTTTTCTTTTAGAAATCCCCACACAAAGAAATCTAATGGATTTAGGTCTGGGGATCGTGGAGGCCAGGCGACTGGTCCTCCACGGCCGATCCATCTTTCTGGATAATTTTCGTCCAGCCAGTTTCTAACTATTCTCGAATAATGAGCTGGACAACCATCAAGCTGGAACCAGGCCAATCTTCTTAAATCTAACATAACATCATCCCACATATTTGCATGTTCAGCCTTTAAAAATTCCAAGAAGGTCGCAGCATTTAACCTTGCAGGCAAAAGGTAGGGTCCAAATACTCGATTACGGTTGATACCAATCCACACGTTCACACTAAATTCATGCTGAAAATTTCTTTCCCGAACTGCATGCGGATTTTCATGCGACCAAATATGTTGATTATGAAAATTTACCACTCCACGTCTAGTGAAGCATGACTCATCGGTCCATAAAACGTTACTTAAAAACTCCCTATTATTATCAGTTCTATCAAGAATCCAGTGACAAAATGTGATTCTTCGTTCTCCATCCCCTGGCTGTAGTTCTTGCACAAGTTGCAAATGGTAGGGACGTCTATGGTCATTTCTAAGAACATGGTGAACATGGCTTGCTGAAATTCCCAAGGCACCAGAAACTCTCCTAATACATGTGGTCGGATCTCTATCAAACCCACGCAGAATCATACGGGTAAATCTGCGCTGACGAGCATTTATGTTTTGATCCCTTTGGAGATTTCCAAAACCATTTTCAATTATTTGGCGATACACTCTTACAAATACTGAGCGAGTTTGATGTCGTTTGTTTGGAAATCTTCGTGCCTATTCTCTGGCTGCTTCTGCTGCGTTTCCATTTACAAAGCCATACACAAAATGAATATCCGCTAACTCTTGATTGGAGAATAAAAATGGCATTATTATAAAACTTACAAAAAAAAAACAGGTAAAAGAAACTGAATTTCATGCATTCACAATTGCAAAAAAACGTTTCAGGTTTCAACAGACAACAAAACTAACTGTCAACTAATTGACGTTTAACCTTATTCTGCTTTCAGTTTCAAAAATATTTGCAGGCACAGCCTACTTCTAAAAATTATGGAGATATTGACTTTTTAACTTTATTTTATCATAAATAATTGAAAATGCATCGAACCTTAAAAATCGAAATATCTCAAAAATGGCTAACTATAACGATAATTCACAAGAGAGCTTTTTTATGTTGAAAAGTGCGAAGAATCAGTTTTTTATTCAAAAAGCAAAAAATTGTACTAATAAAAAATTTTCGGTCATTTTAATACACTACAGGTACAGTAGAGAGCGCCCTCTAGCGGCTACAGAAAAACTATGCCCATGGTTCGTTTTGTCGTACCCAAAAACCCTTGTATACCAATTTCTACTGTTAGACATCAAATATTGTTCGAAATATTAAAAAAAAATATTTTAGAAAGTAAATTTAAACACCCTGTATTTCGGAAGCCACGCATTTTTCGACCCATTTTTATATAGACTTTATGCATTAATTTTAAAGGTTCTATCGAATCGCAAAGTTATGCAACAATAAACTGAAGCACCCTGTATAAACACGCCACATCTTTATAATACATATTGAAATTTTGCATTATAAAAAAATTAACTAGGAGTAACGTAAAATTATACAGATGGTTGAAACATCAACACCTTCTATGCTGGATGCTGGTGCTAATTGAGTACACATCTTTTGTTTTTTTAACAAAAAACTTTTATATATTCAATTATCTTACTTTTAGATGTTTATGTGACACAAAACACAAAATTTATTATTAACTTGGTTTTATATTATGTCGATGATAAGACTAATATTAATCTCGAAAGTATTAATAACTGTTTTGATATGAATAACATGAAACTTGATCCTCAAGAATCACTATTTTACAAGAAAGAAAAACGGAGACATCTAAAAGCAAGCCTGAACCTGGAAATAAGCATCAACGATTTGAATTTTAACGATGTATGAGAAAAGTAATCAGAACATGCTATTTTAGGCTAAAATTGTTACGAGGGATGTCTTTATTGTTTTTAGAAGTATTCTCCACGAAGATTAATACACATCTGCATGCGCTCGAACCAATTTTCGAAGCACTTATTTCACTCGTTTGCTCGCAGATCCAAAACGAAGTTTTTGAATGCGTCACGTCAACTGCTTCTTCTGGTGACTGGAACCTTTGACCACACAGTCTGTTTTTAATTTTCTGGAAAGTAAAGAAATCGCTAGGACTTAGATCGGGACTATATGGAGGATGGTCCAATAATTCCACGTTTGCATTGTCTTTGTGGAGGATGATCCGCCTGTCGCGACTATCTTTTTCGAAACACTTCGAGAACGGATGACTTTTGTTGGCTTTTCTTCACCTTGGAACACCCAAACAGCCGACTGTCGTTTATTTTCTGGTTCTTAACACTGGACAACAAATTTTAGTTTTTTAATTGTATCTTGTGGGAAAAGTGCACTTCTTTGTTAATTTTGGGGCGCTGAATCCAAAAATGACAATGAAATAAAAAAATTCGTTGCGGTTTAGAAAGAACTTTTTATTTTTAAGCATATATTAAAAAAAGTAACAAGATTCATATACTTATAAGAATCACTACAAGCGCTGTCTTTTTGCTGTTCTTTTATGGATCGTTTCTGGAGCATCTCTACCAACAGTCCAACAGTAGTCTGCAAGCATGGAAGGATTCCACTTTCCCTGGTACCTTTTTCCATTGTTGAAATATCCTGATGAAAACGTTCGCCGTGCCCATCTCTTACGGCTCCCCAATTGTCAGGAAACAAGTCCAGGTGTGAGTGTAGGAAATGTATCTTAAGAGACATATTACAGCCCATCTCTTGCTACGATGACAGCATATTTTTGACAAGGGTTTTATAGTTGTCAGCTTTTCTATTTCCCAAGAAATTAGTGACCACCAGACGGAAATCATTCCAAGCAGTTTTTTCAATACCTGTTAAAGTGTTTTCAAACTGTGTATCTTTCAAATATTTCGAATCTGTGGCCCAACAAAAATACCTTCTTTAACCTTTGCCTCACTTAGTCTTGGAAATTTCTGACGCAGGTATTGAAAAGCTGACCCATCTCTATCTAATGCCTTGACAAAGTTTTTCATTAGGCCCAACTTGATATGCAGTGGTGGTAAATTTTTTTTCGGAACTACTAATCGCATATGCTGTACATTTTTTTGACCTGGCTCTAGGAATTGACGAACAGGCCAGTTTTGTCTGGTGTAATGAAGTGCCTTTGCCCGACTGTCCCATTCACACAAAAAACAGCAAAACCTTGTGTAGCCTAGCTGCAGCTCAAGTAAAAGTGCAACAACTTTCAAATCACCACAAATATGCCATTGGTGCTCATCCTATTTTATGCATGTCAATAGGTACTTCATATTGTCATATGATTCTTTCATGTGAACTGCATACCCTACAGGAAGAGATGGTAAAATATTTCCAGTATTCAATAACACTGCCTTTAAACTCAATGTTGAACTTTCTATAAACAATCTCCATTCTTCTGGGTTATAGTTTATATTTAAAGCCGCCAGTAAGCCGTTAATGTTACTGCAGAAAACCAAGTTATTCTCCATATTGAAAAATGGTTCTAAGTCTTTGTGGCGTTTACGAAAAACACATACCGAAACATCGTTTTGTAACAAGTTCCACTGCTGCAGTCTTGATCCAAGTAACTCTGCCTTACATTTTGGAAGTTCTAAATCTCTTACAAGATCATTTAATTCTGACTGTGTTATTTTGTGCGGTTGGTGGCATGACGTGCTCGGTATGAAATCAGGATCTCTTGACGTTGATGGCATATCTTCTTCCTGACGAATCACTCGATCGCCATGATCTGATTCGTTTTCTGATTCGCAAGTGTAGGATTCTGGGGGTTTTGGAATAGGATTTTCGTCACTGTGAGGCACAGGTCTCATCGCAGATGGTATGTTTCGGTAGTTAATAACCGATTTTTTTTTCTTGGACATACCTGTGGCTTGTCCAACACAAGGTACCATGCAAAAGTAACAATCATTAATATGATTTGTGGGCTCTCTCCAAACCATTGGGACAGCAAAGCGCATAGACCGTTTTTTGCCATTTAACCAGCTCCTCAGAGTTGAAGCACATGTATTACAGCAGATGTGGGGTGCCCACTGTTTGTCTTGATCACCTAGTTTACAACCGAAATAAAGCTGATATGCCTTTGTTATTAGTGGAGTAATAGACCGTCTCTGAGACGCAAAAGTCACATCACCACACACGTAACAAAACTGATCTGGATTGTTTACACACTTTCGAGACATCTTGCATGAACGCTGTCAGCCAACTGAGGACTGCCGTTTTTGGTGCAGCTACCCTGGGATCGTCGCTAAGACTCACCCGTCCACGTTTGAATTCTTCATACCAACGGGAAACTCAGCAAGGCATTCTTGTTGCGATAATTGTCTCTGAAAGTTGTAATAAATTATGGCGCGAAAATGTTCTCGGTTGAGTTCCATTTTTCTAATGACTTGGTGACACTTAAAACATCTTAAAGACCTACATACTGTCAAAAAAAAAACAGCATAATGCCAAAAAAATTGTCTTTTCAAGATACTTGATACCCGTGCGGGTTCGGTATACATTATAAAATAGTTTAAGATTGACCAACGTACTTACCATCATCCTTACTAGTCGGTTTACCAACATTGCAAACTTGCATGTATGCAGTATTGCCCCGAGTCGCAATTTTCTTCAAAAACTGATTTGGATTGTTCCGCACCGTCCCTTTGGGAATACGTTTCAAGCATATCCAGGTTATACAGGCTGTCAGACAATAGCTCGGCTCACAAAGTTGCTTTTTTGATAGATACTTATTGTATATTTATTACATATGGTACCAGTACTTGGAACTCTTTGATAGACAGAACACTGAATCTTTTATAAAACAGTACCTGACAGTCATCTATTTTACCAACTCCTTCGATTATACGAGTCAATTAGTCGTATCTCACCCACAATTTGTATGGTGTTGTTTCAGATAGCTAGTAAGTGTGTTTACGTGACGAAATGAGTTAAATGCATTTAAAAAGCAACTTTTCTACCGTATCTATGGTTTGACATGTGCGGCTTAATTAAAATATATGGCGTGTTTTTTAAAGACGTGCCAATATTCTGGGGTTGAAAGTACATGTAAATATAACAAAAAAAGTTCCTATAAATATGGGTCAAAAGATGGGCCCCTGAACTTTATTTACCAAATTTTTAAGAAAATGTCTCTACGGAGCGCGTAAAGATACTGAGTTAAGATCATAGACGTTCAGAGAGTACAATAAACACACAGGGTTTCCAGGTTTAAAGTAAACCAGCGACGTAGAAACTGGGATATATGGACCCCTAGTAGGAAATATTTCTCCGCCACTGGCGTTTTCGGAGACAAGAAGTGCATTTTATAAAATATCATTCAATATACGATAAATTTTGTTTTAAAGGAATTTTTGTCAGATCACTCGTTTTGGATATATTTAGGTTTGAATATATAATATATAATAAATACAATAATCTGGAAACACCGTGAAGCTTGATATTGGAAACATTATAGGTATGGCACGTGAAGAAAGCTAGGACACCTGATCACAACATAAATCGAATAACTGATTCTTGAAGAAAATATAATAATATAAACAAGAATACATTTTGTTTTTAAGTGTCTAATTTTTGTCAGATCACTCGTTTTGGATATATACTAAGTGACATATAAATCCGAACACCCAGTTTAAATGGTTTTATTTTAATAAAATTTTGTATAAGTACTTAATGAAGCATAATAAGTAAACGATAAAAATTTAAAAATGATTGCACTGCTTTAAAGCCCTTTGACCTTTCATAATGTGTGGATGCACCCTGATGTGCTACGCATTCTCCAACGCGCCTAGGCATGCTTCTGATCAGGTGGTCAATGTCCTCCTGGGGTATCTCATTCCAGGCAACCACCAACTTCTCGCGAAGTGCTTCTAGAGTCTGAGGAGAACGTTGCAAATTGAACAATCTCCTACCCATCATATCCCACACGTGCTCAATTGGGGATAAGTCGAGAGATCTTGGTGGCCATGGTAACAATGTGACATCATTATGTTGAAAGAAGTCTATTGTGACTCTTGCAACATGTGGTCGGGAATTATCTTGTTGGAAAGTTGGATCTACCAGGGTGTCAAGATAGGGTAAAAAATGGGGTTCTAGAACTTCGTGGATATAATGCTGCGCGTTCATGTTACCTCTGATGAAGATTAAAGGTGACCTGGAACCATAAGCTATAGCACCCTAAACCATAGCTCCAACAGTGTGATGAACATGTCTTTCAAAAAAAAACTGTGGATCCCTCCTTTCACCACGTCGCCTTCTAACCCTGGCACGACCATCGTGCATGCCTAAACAAAATCGAGACTCGTCACTAAAGACAATACTGTTCCATTCCTGATCCCAGAGTGACCGTTGTCTGCACCACTCAAGGCGATTACGTCTGTGTTCCCGAGTTAAAGGGAGGACCCAGTGTGGCCGGTATGAAAACAAGCTAAAACTTCTCATTCGTCGGTAAACACTTCGCATGCCAATAGGTCTTCCGTGTTCTGCAAACCATTCATTTGCAATGGACCTGGTAGTGGAGAAACGGTCCCTTAAGGCCAATAATCTTAGGCGGCGATCTTCACGGTCTGTTGTTCTACGGCGGCGTCCAGTGCCCCTTGCTCTTTGCGTACGGCCTTCTCGAAGCCATGCCTGACAACACCTAACCACAGTGTCTACACTTCTTTGCACTCTAACTGCAATTGCCCGAAAAGAAAGTCCAGCTTCCCGAAGTCCCACTCTACGGCCCCTATCAAACTCATTAAGTTGACGAAATCGTACAGGTCTCCGTACTCTAGGCATCGTAACCGATCGTAAAGGATGTCAAGAACCAAAATCCGCCAACGTTGATTCTTTACTGCGGCTGAACATTTAAATTTAAATTCATGTTTAGAGCGTTAGTGAATTAAAAAAAAAGCAGTATGAAAACCGGAATGTCCACTTGTTATTTACAGTAAGATTAATACATTCACCAACTTTTATTAGAATAAAACCATTTAAACTGGGTGTTCGGATTTATATGTCACTTAGTATATATAGGTTTGAATATTTGGGCTGAAATCCTAAAATAAATCGGAAAACACCGTGAAGCTTGGTATTGAAAACATTATATAGCATGTAAAGAAAGCATGACACCTCATTACAACATGAATCGAATAATAGCTTCTTGAAATAAATATAAATATAAAAAAAGAATAAATGACCTTTATTCGTCGCAGCATTACAAAGCAGTAGACTTAATAAGAAGAAAACAAAATAGTGACGAAAAGGAGGACAGTCTGCTTACGCTGTTTTTCAACCTAACCTAAAGATATAAACACAATTCATAAGTTACTATAAAGAAAAAAGTACCCAAACTTAAATAGCACAGTGCACGACATTGATCACCAAAAAAGAAAAGCTTAAGATATCGCACTTCTCAGAAAAAGGAGTTAGGGGAGACCGGGGCTTGTCACAATTTTCAGTATTTCTTTTTGTTATTCGATCTGAAGCGTTATATGCACATATTTGGTGCATAACATATATGGTTTATCCTTTGGGAATACTATGTAAAATCGATAAGGCTGTAAAATAATTCACAATACTAAATTAAAATATTTCAAAATACAGAAACAAATGTGACAACTTGCCCCTTGCTGGGGCTGGATGTAACATTGCTTGGGGTTGGTGGTCACGTGTATTTTAGATCATTAATAAATTATGATATCATACTTTTAAACATATTTATTATTACAAAAAATGCTTATTAAACACCAAATCTTTATGAGAAAAAAGTAGAAGAGTTTTTTTTACAATTAGTCACTATCGCAGTTATGACATGTAAAGTTCGCGTCCATCAGTGCACGCATCATGAGACCAACCATTACACGATGAGCGTTTCACTCATTCTTCATTTGGCGGGCTGTTAGAAAATGGTTCAAGACAAATCAAGCAAAAACATTCTTCTCCATCAGTTTCATTATCTGAACAGGACTAGCGTTTTTAAATTTTTTTAGATTTCTTCATTATTTTTCTGCATCAAAAACGTCTCTTTTCACTGTTTCCCTGTTCCTCTTTTTCTTGTACCAGCATTTATTTTTCTCTTTCTCTAATTCGTCCTTTACTGGAGTGTCAGTGAGTATTGCAGTCCCTCGTTTACGACGGGAAACTCGATTCATTTTTCTTGCCGATGCCTTTGGATAAGGTCTTAAACTTTCTGGAAGTACTATATTTCCGGTATACAGCCTTACTAAACTACTACAGCAGGGATCATCAAAACTAGTTTATTATTATCTATATTATCTATTGCTTCCTGCGTGTTAATATTTATCAGACGTACAGTTTCATCTTCGTTCAAGATGGTTGGAGTTGGCCCAACTTTCTTTTCGTTTAAGGTTTCCGGGTTTGGTGCAGTTATTGCCTCGTTCAAGATACCCGGATCTGGCCTATCAGTGACAGAGCTCGCAAGAAAGTCATCATCCGTGAAAATATCTCTGTTGTAAGGAAACACACCCGACACCCGAAATCCAGACTGTATATTTTTGGGAGTAAATGCGAGGGGGTATGCAATAGAGACCACTGAAGGTATGTCGTATATAGTCATGGTCTTACCGGGATTATTTAAAACCCAAGCATCACAGGAAGTATTTACATATTTCTTAAAAAGGCCGAAAACGGCTCTGTCAAGAGGTTGAAGTTTATGTGAACAGTGAGGGTAAAAAGGGAGCATGACAATGCCATTTGCTTTGGCAAAATTCAGTCCGTCTATACTCAGATGTGATCCATGGTTATCTAGTAAAAGCAGGCACGGTCTGTCCACAGTACTTTTCATATGAAGGTGAAAAAATCTAAGAAACTCCAAGAAATGAGACTCTTTCATCCAACCTGATGGGTTTGCTGAACCTTGTGAGCCAGGAGGAGCCGAATTTAAAAAATGTGGTTTGAAATGTACCCGTGGAAAAATGAGAAAAGGAGGTATGGAATTTCCAATAGCTGATGCTGCACTTGCTAAAGTAACAAGAGTTCCTCTTTCTGATGAAACTATCGAACCAACCTGTTTGAATCCTCTTCTGGCAACAACGCGGTCGGGTCTTTGGACAGTTGTAATCCCAGGTTCGTCATGTTCCAGATTTCGTGAGGCACAAATTTATATTTTTCCATAACTAAAGCTAAATTATCAAAAAATGTGTTGACGTCCGTTTTATTGAAACTACTGGCTCTTGCTAAACTAGTTGCTTCCGGTTTGCTAATAATTAGACAGTACAGGATGACGTTTCAGAAACGCACTAAGCCAGTCAGGACCAGCTATTTTATGGAGCTTCCAATTTTCCGGCATTTTCAAGGAAATAGCATTAGCAAAAACATATGCCAGTCCACGTACTTCCTTGGGTGATAATCCAAAATAAATATCAGATGCTTTGAGTACATATTCCACTAGACGATTTTCAAGTTCAGGCTCAAATACTAAATGATTTTTGATGTAGCCAACTGAAATTGACGGCGCAACAACTCGATCATCAAGTAATTCAGACTCTGGAATTTTCTTACAGTATCTTGCTAAAGTACGGTAATTTACTTTGAAGTCAGCTGCCGCATTTCTTATTGAGGATCCTAATCTCACTAACCTAGCAGCTCCTAAAAGTACGTCAGGCGGTGCTTTGCCCTTCTCAGTCTCCCTTTTGAAATTTCGAACCATGCTTCTGTAACCTGAAAATATTAAAAAAATACATTGTATACATATACCTACGTAGAATGATGTGCAAAGCTAATCGTTTAGTGTGGGGGCTGGTTGTCACATGTGACAAGAGGCACCCCCTAATTTGAGACAACCTGTCCCACTAGATAATTAATTTTTAAGGTTAGATAGCGTCACTAAATTAACAAATTCAAAGT